TATCAACAGTGCTAAATAATGCACTCGAATTCCAAAGCTTTTGACAACTAATCCCTACACTCAGCTGTCACCTCATCCATGGTTTCACAGCACTTCTTAGGCCTCCAGTTACCCTCACTGTAGAGGAATCCTTCTTCTCATAAAGACAATATATTTTGTGGATAGATAAACCCAGGGGAAATAAATGCTCCAAATCTTCCCCCAGCTACGAGAGTCTCCAGGAATCTACAAGATTTTGCATATCCAGAGATAGCAAGGGAGCCATGTCCATACTGCCTACTCACACCCAAAGCCAGATCCCTGCATTCCTGGCACTATGATTCAAAAGGTTAATTACACGAGGCAGATCTAGTTGTTTCTGTGTGCCAGAGGACAACCTTTCTACAAGAAGGGCAATCCTTCCCTCTCAGGACTTAAAATAAGGGCACCAAACCTCTAGGGGCCCAGCTCTAGGTGGGACATTCCCACTCAAGTCAGGCTCCCAAGTTCTTCACTGTGAGCAGAAAAAATTATAGGTTTGACCACAGTCAGCAGCCCAGAAACAGGAAGAATGACTAAGGCAGGTAGTAGGAAATACTGGAGACTGCTTTGGGCCTGAAGTTACACTGCTGTTCTGTGTTCAAGAACCCACCTGAGATGTGGTGTTTCAGTCAGCCCTCTGGACAGGGAGGACTGCTGGTTTTACAGAACTGCTTGGCAGGTTTATGATGGCCCAGGAAGGCAGAGACCTGGCTTTGTAGGTGTGATCTCTACAGAGAAAGTATCTCCCACGTCCTGGTGTGTACTGCCTGGCAGCTACAGGTGTACTGCACCACCAGCTCTCCTCTGCACTCATGCTGGAGCTGGAAAGGAATGCCAGGTTCACAGGGAAAGAAGGAGAGAGAATTACTGCAGCCATAACAAGGGTCTCTGAAAAGTCCTCACTCCAGAGCTGAGTATGCTTTCCTCACTGAATTACTGGCTACACAGTCCTGGGAAGAGGGACTGGAGCTTTCTCCAAGATACTGTTTTTGACTGTGGGTTGGAGGCACCCTCCCTCCTCCCCATATCTCCAAGTCATCTTGCACCTCTTCCCCATGCTTTCCTGGAAGAAGATGGTATGCATCTGAAGCCAAGGGTGCTTTGAAAGCAGCATGAAAGCCTCTCGTGCTGGGCAAGTGCTGTAGGCAGTAGGACATTCCCAAAGCACAGGCACAGAGAGGAGGCTGGTGGCAGGCAGAGGTCAGCACTGTCCACGCATCATAGGAAAGCTCAGAGCAGTAATCCTGATGTCCAGGAAAAATATTATGAGGCATTTGGAAGGAGAAAAGCACTGAGTTCAGACAAGCCTGTGGTGACACCAGGTTAGGGTTACAATAGAACAGGCTGTATGAGTAGAGGGGTAAGTGTCCTTGGCCTTTCAGATGGCCAGAAGTTGCTTAAGGACTGGGGTACTGCCAATGTTAATGCTAAAAGCTGAGAAAGAAGAGCCAAGCAGATAGTCAACAGCTCTGGCCCTGGCTGCTCTTAGGAAAGCCCAGATGACATCTGGACTCAAAGCAACATAGATAGGACCTGTGTGTTTCCATTGCAGTTGCCCATTCTCAAACATCTTCAGGGATTTAAGCATCTTCCAGCATGTAACAGGTGAGGTTGTATTTAAAAACTCTGAGCTTTGAGCAGCTTTTTAGAGTGGGGAAAAAAATGGAATGGCACTTACTGCCGGGCTTCCTCCAATGCCCACGCCAAGGTCACTGCCAAGCTGAAAGAGAGAAGGAGAGAGAGGAGAGAAAGACCCAGTTCATTTAAGCCAAGTGTCAGATGGCCGAGGGGAGCTCAGCGACCGCTCCGCCGCCAGCGCCTCGCGCTGCTGCATGCAGGACAGACAGAGATGCAATGATGGGAAAGCACAGGGAGCAGAGGGGCTTTTTCTTTTTCTTTTGTGAGAGCAAAGCTATGTGGAGAACTACCCCACACACCTACTGCAGACAGGAGCGTTTTGCAGAGTAACAAGAACAAAACCTCATCCCTGTCATCTGCACCACCAGCTCTGCGCAATTCTTCCATCTTCCAGGCATCGGTGCTTTCCCTCCAACCCACCCCGCTGGCTGCCAGCAGTTCTCAGCAGCTCCACAAAACCCAGTGGGGTAACTGTGAAGTGGAATAAAAATAAAGCTGACAGGAAGCTCACTTCCTGAAAGCTTTCATTTTCTAGGGAACAGCTACTGACTGCGGGAAGACACAAGGCATCTTGGCTCCCTTCCTCTGCCATGCGGCTCTTCTCAGTAACGAGGAAGAAAGAGATGAGGTATGTGCAGCTATCACAGCAGCTCTGAGGTGGGCTTTGTCTTCCCTTTGAGGATGCTCCCCTCCCTCAGACAGGAAAAAAACAGCTTAATGATCTAATGGGCCTCTCAAATAGCAAAGAGACCTTACAGGTCACGAGGGTATTTCAGTAACGATCCCTGCCAAGCAAGGCAGCTACGGCTTGAAGAGAGTGGAAGAGCCACTGTGCACCCCCCCTGCAGCCCCCCAGACCCCACACCCTCCCTGGAACCCTTCTGCCAAACCACCCTGCAGCCCCCCCAGCAGCTGTTCTGTCACCAGCTCCCTTTACAAAGCATCCACATCACTTCCTCTGTGATAAAACTCATTTTTTTTAACCATCCACACCACTGCACACACTTGAGAGAATTCAGCCATCAGGCTGCAAGTGCTTCTGCAAGTGCAACATCACTCCTGTGAATATTTATAAAGCACTTGGCAGATGACTGATAGTCAGGAGGAAATAAGCACGGATCCCTAGCAGTTATTCATTGCAGAGGTGTCTCCAGGCTGATCTGTGTCCTAAGCTTTTGTTCAGATGATCATGGCAGTTTTTTGCATAGTACAGATTTGTTTGTTGGGCTTTTTTTCCCTCACACTGGGACAAGGATCATGCCCTGCAAGATGCACAAAGGATGGAGCAAGCGCAGGGGTGAGGTAGCAGCCAGCCCCAGGGGGAAGGGCTGGACTGGCAGACCAGAACAACACCTCTTCCCTCTGCACAAAAGACTTGGAAATTCAATTTTGCTCTATGCCCTGCTAGCCTGTTTCCTGGGAGATCTCATGGCAAATGTATTTTACAGTGGCCAAGAGATACCATAAAGCTTCATACTTCCCTCCCTCAGAGCACAAATAAAAGGATAAAATGCCTTGAGAACAGCAGTACAGTTGCAAGACAATGACTTATCAGATGATAACTAGCCTCCAAAAAACCTGCAAGATTTGACAAATTCCTGTGCTATTCTGGATTCCCTTTCTATCCTCTGGCATCTCAACCTCCCCTTGTGCCTGCAGAAGCCACTGGATGCAATATTAGCTACTGTAAGTAGTGTTAAGAGAAGTACAATTCACATACTATTTGCCTTTTGTTAAGAAGCCTTAAGAGCTTTTTTCCTCTGAGAGACTCAGTTTATCCCTCCTTGAGGCCATGGCAGAAATTTATAGGACATCTCTCACCTCCTGCAGCAGCCTTGGTAGAGCAGCCCAGGGCAGTGCAGGCCACAGGGCTGGCGGTTCTTAGCTTGCTTCAGAGACAAGAGTGACTGATTTCAAAGTCAAAAGAAGATCAGTCACAGACCAAAAGAAGCCAGCCAGAGGATGCAAATCCAATTGAGTTTATAAAATAGGGCTTATTACACTGTCAAGTCTCCCCCACTGAAACAGCTTGGCAGGGCAGAGCTCTGCTCTCCAGACAGCTCTTCCAGCCACGCCATGTTCTAGATTCATCTGTCAGATCATTTACATCTTTTAACTGAGGCTCACTGAGGAGTAATAAATCCAACTATTACACCTTATCCCTATTCACAGTCTTGCACGCAGATGAACTTCACACTTTATACTGACAGACAGTAAAGTCCAGAGGAAAAGGAAAAAAGGTGAAGCACCCCATTCATTTCCAGATATTATTGTATTCATGGAGAACTTCTGGTGCTGTGGTCTGAAGCAGAAGAAAGGCTAGTTTATCAAGCAGCAAGCATTTTACAAAGGGTATTATGGAAAAGACTGCATAATTCTGCATAATCAAGCCAGATGTTAACTATTCTACCATTTCCTACTACACTGATCATTAGAAGCTGCAGGCTAGGAAGCCAGCCTTGAAGAAACCCATGCACTAGCTGCATGCACTCACTGTGAGGGAGGGAAGGGGTGACATATTTGGGTTCCTCAAGATATCTGCAGGTCTTCCATTTTCCATAGCTGTCATGTCTTGGGGGAAAAGCAGAATTTGGATTTATTGCTTGTCTTGAATCAAGACTCCAGCTCTCACCCCCTGCAAGGCAGAGGTAAAAACCTCACTGGCTCAGAGAATTCACCATAAGCCTCTTTACATTTCTAGATTGCACCAAACATCTCTGCTCACTGGTAGAAAAGTTCTCTTTCTGATGCCAGGGACTCTGACCTGCTCCTCCTGAGGCCCTGCAGGCACCAGGGCCTCTGCCCCCATGCCTGGGACCAGGCACTGCAGATGTGAGATACAGAGCAAGCTCCAAAGAGCTGGCAGCTCCACCAGGTCCCTACAGACTGAACTGGCTCTACCTGTGTAGTGAAAAGAGAAGTGACAACATATCTACTTCAGAAATCAAAGAGGGGGAGTTAATAAAGAACTAATCAGTTCCACATCAGACCAAGGGGCACTACCTATTGCAGCAGCACAGAAGTCCCTTTCACTGTTTTCTTGCCTGTCACCCTCCCACAGCACCAACACTTTCCCATTCAGAAACTTCAGGACTGGTTTACCCCATCCTCCTGCAAGATGCCCAAGACATAACTTCAGTCCAAAATGATGAAAGAGATGGTAACAGCGACGTGTGTGAGTAAGAGGGAAGGAAGAAGACAGAGGGAACAGGAACCAATTACCCACAGAGTGTCCTCTCCCATCTGGAGTGACAGGCAGAGTGCAGAAGGAAAGCAGCAGATATTTGTCAGGCTTGAAGTGCTGCCGAACCAATTCCCCAGGGCTGCAGCTCCAGTTAACCGTTTCCATTCATCTCCTGGGCAGGACTCTCCCATCAGCAGGACCATGTGAACCTGCCTTCCAGAGGAACAGGCAACAACCCCACGGAGGACAGGACCACGGTCCTACAGCCACCAGCCCTGTCCAGGCTGAAACACTGGCTGTGAATGTGGGTGGACAAGGGATGGTCAAGGGGAACTTTTAGCTGTGAGCCTGCAGCACTGCAAAGCCCTGACCCTGAGCCCAAAGTAGGCTGGCTTGCTGCTAAGGGCACAAAGCCTCTGCCCACGAGGAGGAGCTGCCAGGTTGAGGAGATGAGCAGGGGAAGAACAGGGAGCCTTAGGCCACCAAACACACCAACAGGAATTCTCTTCACTCCCTCCAAGCCCAAGCAGCCATATGGGTTTAAAGAAGAGGCTGAGCTTGACCCTGTATCAGCCAAACCAGCAGCAGCACCTCTCCCCAGGCTGCACTGGCACCTTCACTTGCTGCCCGTGGCTGGGGTGGCTGCGGCTGCTCTGCGGCTGAGGAGCAGCTGCCCTGAGCTCCCGGCTCCCGCGAGCAGTGACGCTGACTTAGGGAGTGCAGCAGTGCTGGAGGTTCTGCATCGGCAGGGTTTATTTGCATCTTAACAGCAGCTTGTAATGAAGTGACTCTGCTGATGTGTTCACGTGATCTGAGAGGGGTTACAATCCCTCTGCACCATCAGGTGAGGCGTTTGGAGCTCCAAAAAAATAGCAGGGAGGGTGGAGCAGCGAGGGGATTCTGCCCCTCTGCTCTGCCCTGGTGAGAACCCACCTGGAGAACTGTGTCCAGCTCTGGAGCCCTCAGCACAGGAGACATGGAGCTGTTGGAGAGGGTCCAGAAGGGCCACAAAGATGGCCAGAGGGCTGGAGCAGCTCTGCTCTGGAGACAGGCTGGGAGAGTTGGGGTGTTCAGCCTGGAGAAGAGAAGGCTCCAGGGAGACCTTAGAGCACCTTCCAATGCCTGAAGGGGCTCCAGGAAAGCTGGGGAGGGACTTTTCACCAGAGAGGGCAGTGACAGGACATGGGGTAATGGTTTGAAACTGAAAGAGGGGAGATTTAGGTTAGACATCACCTTCAGGATGAATTTTGCCATGTTGCAGAAGTTAATGCTTCCGTTGATCTTCCTGGGTTAGTCCTGTTGGGACTTAGGCCTGATCCCTCTCAAGACAGACACCCCCTCCAAAGAAAAGGAGGCATTCTCAAACACACAAGAGCTGCAGCAAGCATCTGAGGTGATCAAGACATGACAGTGAGTGAATGTGACACGGAGGCTGAGATCCTGCCAGCAGCCTCTGCCAGACCTTCAGCTGCCTTTGAGACATCCACAGAACTGACACAATCTCCCCATCACAGCAACAGACCATGATTTCATGCACCAGCTCAAGCACATCCCAAACCACTTCCTTCCACTGTAACAGAGAGACTTATTGAGGCTTTTTTAACGTATCAAACAGTTGCTCAGAAAAAGGATGCAGAGTTTGGGGTTGCCCTACTCTGACACCAGAGCAGCTTCCATCCCTGCCCAGCCTGAGGGATGACACCAGAGGCACGAAGTAGAAAGTAGACCACATTCTAATACCTTGTGCTCCCCTGCCTCCTCTCAGGTCACCTGAGATCCAGAAGGGACCTCAACAGAAAATGGGGATCACCAGCAGAAGTGGCACAAACTCCATCACTGGAAGCCTTAAAATAATTACACGAGACAAAGCTCTGGTGAAAAAATACATACTCAGTCCTTCCTTAGAGCCAATCCCAACCACACTTGGTTCCAGTTCTCTAATTTGGACTCTTAAGTCAACAAGAAGGGTGAGAAAAGCAAGATCAAAGCTGCACACACAGAGAGGGGGACAACTGCCTCCATATCACAACCAGAGGGTGTCTTGTACTGTCTTGTAGCGTGGGGGCCCAAAGTGAATTAAACTGTCTGGTTTGAGGATGAGAGAGAGACTTCTCTCCATGCTTCATGCTAGGGTATGGGAGCCTCAGTCTTCCCAACAAAGCAGGGGAAGAAAATGAATTTTAAAAACCCTAAAACTTCAGGAGAATGAAGAAGGGAAACTTCAAAGTGGAACAAATAAGGCAGTAGTATAACAAAGAAAGTATGTGGGTAAGGTATCTGGAGAAGGAGGAAGGAATTGCTATCCCAACAGCCAGGACACTTACTGATACACTGAGAGGCAGAACACTGATAAGGACAGAGGAGGAAGATTTTATTTCAGTCTCTAACCCACCTCACTAATTGACTGCATGAGCAGCCCAGGTGACCAGCATCCCTGGCTCATGGCCATTTTCCATCCCTGGAGAAGGGTGAAGAGCTTGGGACACACCTCATCTCACCACCACAAAGAGAAACCAGGCAGTGAGAGGCTGTTTTTGGCACTGCACAAATGTGGCTCCATGTATCTGCCTGAGATCCAAACACCAATCCCCTTGGCTAGCCATGCAGCCAAGAGACACTGCCAGCAATTCAGCTAATACCAGGCTAGGGTTAACTCAGCTTCATACTTGTTGAACACAACAATAAACAAAGACAGATCACATTCACTCACACACTAATTAGGCTTATTAGGGAAGGAAAAGCCAGAGAAATACAGAGATTTACCAGGAAAAGATTCACTGATACACGCAGGCATCAGAAGACAGGACATTTGATGAAAGACCACTCCAACAGAAAGCATTCCAGGGGACAAAAAAGAAACACCATCCAGATTCTTTTTTTAGTGTTTTCCCCATCTAGTACCTCAGCTGAGCCAGTGCTGCAGCCCGAGGCAGCTACTCCTTGTCCAGACACTGCTCAATCACACTGCACAGCCCCGTGAATTTACTTAAGGCTTGACAAAAATCTTAAGGAAAAGCCTAATGTCATGTCAATTAGCAGCTCCACTGCCAAACTGGGTCACTAAATTAAGCCCATCAAAGCCAACTGCTAGAGAAATCTTTTCCCAAAACCAAGTTTTAGTCCTGCTGCTGTGTCCATTTATTTGTCTCTGACACTAAAGAGAAACAACAGGTTACTATAAGTGGCCTGGAAGACACTAGCCAGAGGAATGTAACTCCTAGCCACTCTGAGCAGCCAGAGCTAGCACCACTTTCTGCAATGCCTTCCAACTATTAGACATCCCGGTGCCCCAGTGGCAGTTCTAGCATCACAGGGCAAAGGCTGCCAAGGTCACTGCTCTGGATTCAGTGGCTGCACTCCCAGCAACTCCAGCATAAACAGTTTCCCTGATCCTGGGTCTCCCAAGAGCAAAGGCAGAGTCCTTGCTAAATAAGCAAACTGCTGTTTAGGTGTCACAGAGACCAAAGAAGATCTGACCTCCATGAACACCAATGCTATTAGATTGTGGCCAGTTCATTAGCTCATGAAGCACTGGAGGTGGAAATGTGTTTAATGTCTCATTTAGCAAGATTATGGCAGCTTAAAAAAAAAAAATAAAAAAAAAATTATCTTTGACAAACAAGGATTTGTTGCACGGGGTTCATCCAGCTGCCTCCCACCTCTGTTACTCAGAGCTTGACTCAGAACTGAAAGTGCACCTAAATCAGGCACACAGATAACCCAGTCCAGCTCACCAGGAGCCAAACCTCAAGGCAAAGCCAGACAAATCCACTGTAGGTCTGAAGAGCCCACAGCTGCCCTCACTGGGGTGGTCTCATTCAGGTTAGTTGGTGCTAACACACCTAGACTGCTTCTTACCCCTGGTAAGTCACCAGGCTGGAAGAGTTATGTGTGCTGTGCTCCATCCATAGGAACATCTCTCAGGATGCTGCTGACATTCACCATTTCTCTTTGCCTGGCTGTCACCAGCCTGAGAGCACAGCACTGAGCTCCTGGCCACTGCTAGTCTCCTTGCTAAGTGATTCCCCCATGGCAGCTCATACCCCAGAGCAGATGCAATGTGTGATTACTCATGCTCTGGAGCCTGACCCTGTTAGTACTGGAACACCTCCTCATGAGCAGCTAAGGAGGACTATCCAGAGTGCTTCCCTCTTGACCTAACTGCAATGAAAGTGTCACTGACATTAAACCATGAGCCACTGAAGAACATACAAATGGGCCTGCAGCCCTCAGAGCCCTGCACTGAAATTCAGGAGGTTTGGGAACCAGATGAAACAAAGGTCCTCTTGAAAGGGAGCCAGAATGCCTGAAAAAGCAGTGGAACAAATACATCCACCAATCCTGGGGATTCTATAGCATGCAGCAGGAAAAATCTGCTGGAAGTTGGTACAAGAGCACTGGTTAAATCCTCTTGGACTTTCAGGACTCAGCACTGCGAGCTCAGCAATCCAAGCATTACAAGCACAAATAATCAAGGTTTTGCAGAGATAAGCACAGCTCCAATTATTCTGCACCAGCTGAAGCTAAAGAGGATGCTGCTTACCAAGCTGTCCAGTCCTCCTCCCAGGAGGTCCACAGCACCCATCTGCATGGTGGACACTTGAGGAACATTCACTGGGGGTCCCAGGTCCAGGTTGAGAAGGTCACCCAGCAGGTCACCCTGTGATGGAATGACCTGTGGTTGCTCCAGGTTGGTGGTGGCCGTTGGGCCCACAGGGCTGTCACCTGCATCAGTGCTGTGGGTGGGAGAAACAAGAACCAGAAGAGAGCAACATTAATCACCTTCGGTTTCCAGATTCCCAGCAGGAGGAAACACAGCAAGAGGTGGCTCCTGAGCAGCAGCCAGTTCAAAGCTTATCCTAGCAGCTGGTCCAACCACTGCCACATACAAGGCAGCATGTTATGGCAAGTGGTTCCTCAGCACCTGCTCTGAGCACACTGACTTTCCACGTGCTGTGCATGGCTTTCAGTTCAGGAAAGATCTTCAGGTGTGAAATCTGCCCACTGTTTGCACACTCCCTCCCAAAAGAAGTAAGTCATGAGTACTACATGGACTACCGTGCTGAAAATGCTTATTTCCTAGCTCAGAAGAAACCTGAGGAGATAATGTGTAGCCCACTGGGCCTGGAGGACATGTAAACATGAAAACAAAACCCCAAATTTCCTCAGAGACCTGTGAGCCCTTGCTCTAATCAGTGCAAACTCAACCACTCCTCACAGATCTGGATTAGCCACCTTCTACTGAGCAGCACTAAGCTCCACAATTCTAATTAAAGACCTCAATCTAAAATGGATACCTCCTTTCTACCAATAATTTCTTTTTCTCTGAGTTAGCAGGCATGCTAATTACTACTCTAGAAATGTTCATTATACAGCTTCCAAATTCTAGCAGTCTGGCTACCTTTTATATTCACTTGCTACTGGATTTTACAAGGAGAAGAAAAACCAAAAAGGTAAGATTGATTGTAGCTCCTGGGGATCTCCTTACAATGCATTTATTCTTTAAATCCAGAGATGCTAATAGTTTGGAGAACTAAAAATCTATTTTATGTTCTGTTGCCAGCAGTAACTGACAAAATTACTTCCAGCTGGTATTAGTGCAGATGCAGGTCACTGCACACAAGTGCCACAGGAATTAAGTGTCCTGACAATGTGTTCGACACTGGGGCGTTTTGTGAGGACTGCAGCTCCTGATTGCAAGGCACCACCACCCTCTTCCTTATCCTTATTCAGTTATTGAGGGGAAAGCTTCAGACACAGAGTGTAAGCTGCTCCCAGCTCCAGTGCCAAGAAGAAAAGCTGTAGCATAAGGACTGCAGCATGAATTAGTTACCAGGCAGAGACAGAAAGGGCTGAAAGCTGCTTTGTGTTAAAAGCTTTAGACCCTAGTAGTACTAATATTAGTTGACTTTCTGCTTCTGACTTCTGAGTGTGCTGAACAGCTAATGAAAACATTTTTGAAGAGCAAGTGGTTCCCATGATCCACTCCCACCCCCAACCTGAGCACGGGGAGAACAGACTGTCTGCGAGAGGCGCGGCACCAGCCGGTGCACACGCTTGCTCCCTTCCCAGCATCTCATCCCTGCCACACTACACCTCTTCAACACTTACTCATCCTGCTGATGGAGTTAAAGCAGTCCCTCAAGGTCTTGTGTAACTGCAGCTGCCCCGAAGCCCAACAAGAAATTAGGAAAGGACAAAGCTAAGTCAGGTCTGTATGAAAAACCCGAAAAGCCAAGGCCTCCATTTCCTGCACAGAATGGGCCTCTCCAAAGGGATCTGGATAAACAACTTGACATTTTCTTTGAAACAAAAAAATTAATAAAGAAGGTGTAGGCCATAACAGGCAAAAAGACTTAATACAAGCTTTCTCCTTTAAGAGTCTTGGGCAGTGGCCAGCAGCTGGGTTTGCCCACGAGAGTTGATGTGACCCTCCTGTGAGTTAAACCTCCAGCAGTTCCCAGCTGTTGGGTGTCACAAGGGATGCTTAGCCTAAACCAGAATCCAGGTTTTCCTGAAGCCACCTGTGTGAGAATGGGGACTCCTGCCAGAGTCTCCTCCCCTCCCAGGAGCCCTGTAAACATCTCCCCAGATTTCCCAGCTGCTCTATCGCTGAGCAGGGATGGTGGGAGCCACCACATGAGGAAACACTGCCAAGCAATAAGGAGATTTCTCCCCCACCTTTAGGATTCATCTGCAACTCTGTGACACTCGGGCTCATTGAAGAGGCAGGAACATCTCACCATCTGTGAGCTGTTCAGTGGGTCCCCCCAGCTGAAAGCTAAAAGGAACCTGTCCTACACTGCTCTGAATGAAAATGAAACTCATCAAAATGCAATGTAGTGTATTCTGCCAACCACCACTAACAACTTCTAGGTTTATATCCAGAAAAGCAACACTGAAAGAGCTACTTCTGCCCAGATATCTACCCAAGGCAACACTATCCTGGCTTGCTTAAGCCACATTCATTGTGGACATCTCCATCCTTCTCCACCTCTATCTCACTGCAACCTGAAGGAAAACCTCTCTCTCTAGCAGGTGTTTCAGCCACCAGAATGGTCATTACCAGAGTGCAGAAGTAATGAAGATGACTCCAGATATCTAGGTGAGAAGGTTAGCTTTTACTGGACACCCATAACTTGCCTTAAACTTACAGATTTTCATGTATCTCTTTATGCACATTCAGCACTAAAAAAAGGCAAATCCATTTCTTAGCAATCAGTGAGGTCACACTGGATGCACAAATTCAGGCTCCCCACAACCATGCAGAGCTGCTCACTATAATCCTCACGGCTGACAGTGGCAATTTGGAATGCTGTCACACTAGGAGGCCTTGGCATCAGCTTGTAAGGTTTACTATCCTTTTACTAACAGCAAAGCAGAAAGCCACATTAGTAGGCCCTCTATGAGGTGAGCTCACATCAGGGAACCCTGGCTTGTCATCAGGTAGCACCACTCGTTTTAATTTACCAAGTGGTAAATTAAACTTCTCCCAGCTCTGGCTGCCTCAGCATGCCACTGCTGACCGAGGCTGGAAGGTTTTGTGCTGAAGCACTGGGTAATTCAGCAGCAAACACCAGCAGGGCAGTGCCCAGAGCTGCCGTGGTCACCAGGTTTGAGGTCACAGCCTGAGCAGCAGCTACGAGAGTCCAGCCACGTACACAGCACAGGCAGCAAGGCACATCACTCTATGCAAAAGCTGAATTCCTTGAGCTGACTAAAATACCCTAAAACGTCAGTTTGTGTGCTGACCTAAAACAACACAGGAAGGCTGGTAACTCCAGAGACCAAAGCTACCCCAGCCCTGGTTTGTTCTCCTGAGGCAAAGCTCTGATGAGGAGAGGTAGCCAAGGGACACGGGCACTGCTTTCCTTGTCTGATACAGAGACTGGTGCCTGCTGGTCCTGGGTCAACGCAGCCAGACTTAGTTTCATAGGCAGAGAGAAAACAACTCTGCTTCCCAAAGCCAGTCATTTCAGAAATAGCTTTAGCAGCTAAGAATAGCAGAGAAGTGCTGTCAGAAAATAGAGAAGGTGCAGCATCACACACTGATTTATCAGTGCAACAGCAAAAAATAGCACTGCAAATGTCACTTTGGGAATATTAGGAGGTAAGCCTGGATACTCTCCCTCCTGCTGTAAAGCACACTTAGGTCTGTAATTAATGCCACCAGTGCAAATAGCACAGCTTACCTGAATGAGGAATCATGGGAACAAGCTCTACAGCAGCCCTTCTTCAGCCCAGGACTACCTCGCTGCCTGCAGATCTAACCCACTTCCAGGACTGGGATCACAGGGAAGCACTAAAGCTCCAGACAATGAACCAAAGCATTTGGCTCCTCCTCTGCCCCAGAGGTCAGACAGAACCCTGTCAGCCCAGGCATCTTTTCAGTGTTGGGGTTAGATGGCTTGTACACTCCCCTGGTTTTATAGGCACCAAGTGAGAAAGGCAGTTTTCCCAGTCCTTCCCCATTTCATATTCCTGGTATCAAAACATCTCAGTACTTGCCACTTCCAGGAAACTGGTATTATTCTATACAAATGAGGCTTGTAAAGCTGTGCTGTTGCTGAAGCAAAAGCTCTTACAAAATTAAATAAAAGCATTCTTCTGTAAGCTGCTTGGTTGTACTTCCACAGCCCTGGAAGTATGCCCTTGAACCAGTTACCCAAGCTTCTAGTTTTTTAATCAAATTCTTGTGTCAAGAGAGCTTATAGCTAATGTCTTTCCAAAAAACATTATAGCTCCTCCTCACACAAGAACTTCGATACTTCCTCTGTCTCTGACCCAGGAACTCAGCAGCTACATACCCTGGATGAAATCCTGCAATGAAATGGCTCCTTGCATGACCTGCAAGCCCTACACAATCGATAAAAAAACACCAGACTGTTAGAATAGATTCTTGCATCTTTTGGACTGTTTGCTAGAAAGAAACAACCAATCTGTCCATTGCCAGCCCAGCCTCTGCTTACCTGCCGTGGTGAATGGGCAGGTGTTTGCGGTGGATCCCATGGCTCCCCTCCACAAAAGCATTGGGTGGTTTGTGGTACACAGAAGCCAGAGACCCAATATGGCAGATCAGCTCATCCAGGAGAGTCGGCTCAATCAGATCAGTCTCCTCAGAAATAAGTGGCTTTTCTGAGAGCACCACTTCCTTGGCAGTCACTGGGTCCGTGGAAAGCAGGCGCCAGTAGATGTAGCCACGATCCCGCAGGTCTGGGTTGTCAGAATCCTGAGACAAAGTCGTGCATCACTCACAGGTCTGAAGGGACTAATACTCCTAAATCCATTTTTCTAGCAGTGATTCTGCTGGATTAAAAACCCCCAACCATCCAGCAGTGACACAGACATCCACTTCAGCAGG